GTTGATGCATATGCATATGCGATATATAAATAAAAAATGCTCCAGATTTTGATTTTTTCTGACGGAAAAAATGGTCTCGCCTAAGAATAGGGGGGCAACTGATACGGCACCAACAAATTTTCATCATTCGACATGAATCTCGAGGCGTGACTCAAATCTCAAGGCAATCTCTTGAGCAATAAACATTCAAACTTCAATTAAGAGTCATCCAAAACTCTGATTTCAACAAACTTATAGTGAAATCGATCGGCTCGATGATATAAAAACTAGTCCAATCCGAGTCAAATCAAATATAGATTAAGTCATTAATCTACTGATATAAAAACTAGTCCAATTCGAGTCAAATCAAATATAGATCTTAGAAGATTTCTGGACATTTTTGAAAGGTTAAAAAAATGTCGATCGGGCGAGCTTATAGTCGAATCGAGCTTTTTGACAAGACGAATCCAGCGAGCCCAAGACCGCTGAATTCCGCCATCATCGTTTGATCGGAGGAATCTCTCCTGACCGTCCGATTAAAGTGGTTCATATTCCTGCATTAATTGCATCTAAAACACTATAAATAGAGCCTCACCACTCTGTCCGATTAAAGTAGTTTATATTCCTGCATTAATTGTATCTAAAACACTATAAATAGAGTCTCACCACTCCCATGAGAAAATAGAGTTAAGTGCATGCTCTGTGTATAGACTCAAACTTCGATTAGTAGTCAGCCATGTATAGGGGAGTATGGGTTGATTAGCTTCTTTAGAAGTAGGCAATTGCCCAGGTTGGATCAACACAACGAGTATGGTGTTAGCTTTGGGCTACATTTTGCTTTAAACAAGCCAAAATAATCCATATTTCAAAAACATTCATTATAATCATATAAGCATCCGAAAGGCTTTACCAACACCTAAACTTTCATTTTTTACATTTATTTTACACCCAAATCTTTCATGACACATAACTAATTCCACTATTTAAATATGCCTTTTTTAGCATAGATAAAGTGACATATATTTGTAAAAATTGACGTTCACAAGCTAGATATATAAATAAGTAAGGATTAAGTGGTGATATTATTAGGACATTTATGTTTGGAATCATTTATAATATATTAGATTTATGACATCTGTTCCATTAATAAGGAAGCATGAAACATCATTTAAAATTAATAAAAGAAACTTGATTATAATCTGCTAACATATTTAAAAAAAAAAGAAAATTAATAAATTAATTATTGGAAGCATAAAACTAAGAACAGTAATTCAGTAAAAAAAAGAAACAAAATGAAAATATATATTTATTTCCAATTCAGATTGCTTCCAATTCTAATGTTTTCCTTTTCTATCCCCTTTCTAATCTACCGAGAAAGGGTAAGGTTGGCGAAGATCTCATCAAAAGAGGCCGGATGGATCCTCTCTCGTTTTATATTTCCCTATCAAATGCTAGAATAATCTCTTCAAGCTACTAAACTCTTCAAACTAATAACAACTGTTATATATTTGTTGTTTGAGAGCTTTAGAGGGTGGTTGGATCATCTCTGAGTTCAAGTTTCCAATTTCGATTTCTTTCCTATTCTATTGCTTTCCTTTTCTATCCCATTTTCTTTTTCTATTTTTTTTTCCAATTTCAATTCCTTCCTATTCAAACTAATAACAACTACTATATATTAATTGTCTTTAGAAGGGGGTTGGATAATCTCTGAGTTCAAGTTTCGCTCCCTCTCGAGTGTTCTCACTTCTAAGGGGTGTATTCGACTGCGAGAGGTGTTTCGACAGTAGCTTGTCCGAGGTGGTAATCTTCTCTAAATTTTTTAGGGATGCTCTGGTTGTTACTCGATCCTGAAGAGATTGTTAATTATCTTAGATTTACTCTTCGTCTATCTATGTATCTAGATTTAACTCTCTCTCTCTCTCTCACGCGCGGGCACTCTCGCTCAGAAGAAGGAATTAACAGTCACTCGGGCCTGAAGTTTGTGGCGGTGGAAGCCATGAATCCAATGAAATTTTGTCCCGAATGGCAAGTATTTTATCCCTTCTATTGCATTATTGTACATAGATAATAAAATTTAACAGAAACTTTAGTTTGTGTTAATGAATATGTATGTGTTTGCAGCAACAACCTACTTTGCCCAAGAGAAGACAAGGAGCGCAAGATCTTGCTTAATGCCTGTCGTATTTGCCCCTATACGGTGAAACCTCATCCTCAAATTAAAATCTTTCTATATATTTATATAATAATAAATTTTGATGGAAAGTTGAAATTAATTAAATCAGCCATTAAATATATTACAGGAGGTGGCAGAGAGTAACTGTGTGTATAGAAATGTGGTGCAACGTAGCTCAGCGCCGGCTGTGATATTAAGGGATGCATATGCGGATCCCACACTTCCTCGCATTAGGGGAGCCAAATGCCCTGTTTGTGCTTATTCAGAAGTTGCAATTTTTGTGGTTAGCTCATCTTGAACATTTATATATGTTTACTAATTTAATGCAGATTTACATGCATACTAATGCATTTATATATATATATATATATATAAGCCAAACTCTAACTTTTACAGACATATATTTGCATCTTTAATTACTTGTAATGCAGGGCAACCCGATGGAAAGCTTGGCTAGGACCTACGCTTGCTGCAACCCCAGCTGCGGCCATAACTGGCCAGCCGAAGCACAAAAAAGGGGTTGAAGTTTACTTGTTAATTTATTTAATAATTGTCAGCTACTTGTTTTAACTGCTTTAATTTATTTTTGTTCTATTAATTTGGAAAAAATGCCTCTAAAGGAAAATTTCTATTTCTATATAAACCAAGCTGAAATTGGGAGTCTTCATCTAATTTTCTGCTTTCCATGTTCTTCATGATTTTCTTTTATTAGGTACAAACCGCACAGTTCTTATATATATATATATTATATGCAACCTAATTTATATAATATTAGATTTATTTTCTTATGCAGAAGAAAAAATTTAAACAAAAATACATTAAAACACACATTGACATACATACCCTCAAATTTTTAAGTGTTTACATATCATCACCTAAGTTTTTTTTAATATATATATTCATCACACTCAATCATTTATATCAAATTAAAAATAACACTATTTTAGTCTCATATATATATAAGAAGGGTGTTGCAACAAGTGAGTGCGGGCTTAGGGTTTGTTTGGGGCAGCTGCAGCTTTTCATCTTTTAGCTGCAGCTTAGCTGCCCCAGAAAGCTTTTATGGGGAAGCTGGTTGGTTATTTGTTGCAGTTGTTTCTGGACAAATGAATATTCTGCCACTGTTTCTAATTTAGTAATGTTGTTTGTAACAGAACTGCGACAGACAATCATATATTTGATATTTCAAAAGCAGAATTTACTTCAAAACAGTACAAAAATTCAGATACACAACACACTTAATAATGAGTACCAATAATGCTAAAAAAATATTAAAATTACAATTAATATAATGATGATATTATTTTTAATCAAAAATGCCAAATCCTCATATTTATCAATGTCAAAGCCAAACCGTCATTTTGTTTTCCATACTCAAATTATATTGGTGTTATAATAGTAAGTGGTGTTTTACTATAACTTTAGACAGCATACATAAAACCAATCATAGTAATGCTAATCATTCAAATAGATGCATCTAAAGTGTTATGCATGTAGCGAGCTCTCTCAGATTGGAAACTGCATTGGCACCGACAATTTTGCTTTCAAACATATCATATCAAAATCGTCACATATAAATAATTTATTGTCACATATTTTTTTGGTAAGTAACGGTAAAGTCATCTCAAACATAAAAAAAATAAGTATCTACTTCAGATTGTAACAAAAAAAAAAAAAAAAGGTACTTACTGATGCAAGGATTCAAATCTGAGTCTGTAATAAGAAGAAATACCTTCAAAGGAAAATGATGAATTATGATGCATACATAAACTATATGATGCATGCATAAACTATAAACAGTTCGCATACAACAGAAAAAAATATATATATAATAAGGAGAAATACCTTCAAAGGATAACAAGAACTTTGAAGAAAAGCAAGAGCTGTAAGAACAGAGTGAAAAAGGATCAGATTTCGGGAGAGAGATCGTTGAAGATGAGAATAGCTGCCCACCCAATCGGCACCATCATAAGCGAAAAGAATCGTAGATCTGTCCTTTGACGCCATGAAAAGGGGTTTCTTAGGATCAGATCCATCGTAAGCGATAAGCTCCTCCTCCTTTACCTCTGTATCTTCTTCATCTCGAGTCACAAAGACGAATGGGTCGAGAGCAGGGAGAGCAGGGCTGTAACTGTGCCCGCAACGGATGATAGAAAACACGGGCTGCTGGGTCGAACTCTGCTACTTGAAAAGAAAGTGGTTTTGACACTTCTCTGGTCAGCGAAACTAGAGGGTCTTTTGCTTCAGTTGTCACAAGAGCAAATCATTATTCAAGGAGGTGCAGATTTCTCTACAATTGCTGCCGAGCTCAAAGTAAATCTTGAACCAGAAATTGGAAGCCATATCATGAACCCATCCTATACTGATGCTGATGATTCTATCCTCGGTAGTCATACTTGGGTTGAGCAGAGCAGCATGGAGACGAGATTCCCCAGCAGGCAGTCAATATTAGCCCATTCTCAACCAATTGGATTGCCTGAAATGGTTTCAAAGCAGTCAGTTATGGTCACATGGGCAGACTTATATTTTTACTAATGTTGCAAACACAAATTATGTAGTCTCAACATCTCCGGTGCCAGGCTTTGCTAACGCCAGTAATTTAACCGGTACTTCAAAGATGCATGTAATGGAACAGATCAGCCCTGCTGCAAGTCCTTCTCAATCATGGTTTAAATCCGCTCTTTCAGGCTTCCTTGATTCAGTTCCAAGCAGTCCTGCATTTGTTTCATTGTTTAGTGGTACCTATGTAAACATTTCTTAAATTAAAAAACATAAAGAAATGTTTAATTGAAGATAAACTAACAAAAAAATATGCAACATTTGGAATAGTGCAGACAGGGCATTTGACTCACTTAATGCGAGGAAGTGTGAGATCTGCATAAGCATCCCTCAATATCATAGGCCACGCTGGGATACATTGCACTTCATTTTTGTATACACAGTTATTCTCTGACGCCTCCTGTAATTTAACAACTGATTTAGAGTTTGTTGGGCAGCAATAGCTGTTTGAAGAAATCACTATGAAGCTGTTAAAAAAGAAACTGTTGTTCAAAAAACTGTTATGGTTATTATAATTTTTCTAGCAGTCACCACATATAATCAGGTTCGGTGAGAAAACACAGTTTTTATCTACTGTTTTTTTAGACTGTAGACAAAACTTATTTTCGCCAAACATATAAAATTGTGGTGCCCCGCCTGAAACGCACTCTTAATTATTGCCAACTTTTCATCAAAATTTATAAAAGTAAATATACAAAATCACTAAATGCAGCATATTTCAGAATGAGGTAATACCGTGCAACCATTTTGTCACAAAAATAGGAGAAAAACTAAAATATTCATCAAGACTTGTTATTCTCAAGAGTCATTTACATGCATACCACTCTATTTCTGTGTATTTATCTATTTAACTTCTAAACTTTACATAGTATATTTGTACCATAAAAATCTTTAATATGATATAAAAGCACCAGTTCTTACTTGAAAAAAAAGTGAAATGCAACTTTCCATGCTAGGGAAGGTGGTAGGTGCATATATGTATGTAAAAACTGAAGTTTTAATGCTAGAAATGTAAATACATAAAGTTGATTAGTATGTATGAAAATCTTGATATTCTTGCAGAGAAAAAAAGTGATCAACATTCCTCCTTCAGTAATAAAAAAACTTAGGAAACCAAAGAATAAAATAAATGATATATATATATATATATATTCCAGGCAAAAATAATATGTGGTGCTACAGAACTGTGTAGCTGCAGGTGAGGCAGACACTAAGCAAGGTCTTGCGCTCCTTATCATCTTTCGGGCAGAGCAGGCTGTTGCTGCATATTTATTCAAATAAATTATAATTTATGATAAATTATATTATGTCATTCAAATGATTTAATGAGAGAAGAGGATTTTCCATTCGGGACAAAATTTCATTGGAATCATCAAGTTCTCTAAGGAGCAAGCCCTTTGATCCATGCTTAAGAGTAACCCAAGATTTAAGAAAAATCAAATATTTATAACATTAGCCAAGTAATGAAATGAGGGAGAAATCAACACCCAATAATGGAATTACATAAATAATTTATATGAACATTGAATGCTATTATTCCCTAATAAATTGCTTCATCTGGTCCCAATTTCATTTGGAAATTATCTCACATGCTTAGTTGCCTTGATTTAATTTTATTACTTAAATAGAAGATATATGAATATAAGGCAATAACATGTTTATTTCAATAATTTAATACAATACTACTATATATTTTTATATGATTAATTATGAAAAAACACTTTACAAGACATAATACAATTTACTTTTATGCAAATATTTTATTTATTCAACACCAAATGGTTATGTAGTCTTCTTTTTTCAAAATTGTCATCTTTAAAGGAAGAAGGAAAGAAAACAAAAGCATAGAAGGTATTAAGAAAAGAAATTGGAGTTTGCTTTGTTGATCTAGTTAATTCCTCTCAAATTAGAGCTGTAAAAAAAGCTCGTTGTTCGCAGATAACTTGTGTTCGACTCGTTAAGTGGCTCATGTTCAGCTCATTTGTTAAATAAACAACCGAACACGAATAAATTTTTTAAGCTAGAATCAAAAACAACCTAAACACGAACTACCTCTTGCTCCACTTATTCTCAAACACTATATTCTCTTTCTTTAAAGCTTCAGATTGATGACATTTTGGTAGGGTTATTATAATTAGATTTTTCTACTTTATGGTGAGTAATACCTATTTAGCTAATTAAGAACATTAATAAAATCATTTATTAATTTAGGTTAATTTTTAGTTTGGTGGATTTCTAGAAGAAAATGTGATTAAGCAATGAAGCGAGCAGCATGCAGCACACATAAGTATATTTGAGGGCTCATGTGCAAGGTGCCATCAGGTGTCAAGGTGCCAAGACTGATACCTAACAACCTTATGTTTCTATGTTAAAAATTTAGCCTATCCCTAATTATTTGATAGTGGAGCTTGATATCAAGGCATTAGATCCAATGATTAAATTCAATGACTAAATTCCTAGTCCTGACATTAAAGTAACAATTATAATTTTTCGAGAGAAGTGAGTAGCCAGCATAAAGTAGACCTTTCTAAAAAGAGGGCAGTCCATAGCTATGAAGGAATTTTAAATGATTTAATTCTCTACTTTTTTTTATTTATTTTGACTTGAAATAAATCCTTATTGTGAGAATTAGAAGTAACCAAACAATATCATTCTCTCTCTCCCCTTCTCTCTCTTTCTCTATCTCCCTCACACTCTCGTCATTCGTGACTAATCAAACCAGTTGCTTATGTATGTCGTACTTAAAAGACATTAAAACTTAAACTTGAACCATTGCTTAATGCCTGTTGTACTTGCACCCATACGGTGAAACCTCGTTCTCAAACTAATATCTTTCATTAATTTAGTCATTTTGTGGAAAGCTGGAATTAATTACATCAGCTATTAAATATATTACAGGAGGCAGCAAAGTGTAACTGTGTGTACAGAAATGAGGTGCAACGTAGCTCAGCGCGAACTGTGATATTGAGGGATGCTTATGCAGATCCCCCACTTCCTCGCATTAGGGGAGCCAAATGCCCTGTCTTTGCTCATCCAGAAGTTGCAGTTTTTTTGGTTTGCCCATCTTTCATTCATGGGAACATTTTTATATGCTTATTAATTTAATGAACATTTACATGCATACTAATGTGTGTGTGTGTGTGTGTGTGTGTGTGTCTATATATATATATA